GTGGTGGAACAAAATGGAGAACACAAGTGTAACTTTATTTATTTATTTTTTCCTTCTGAGAAATTTTCAATATATCCATTGCTATCTTTGCTTTACAGAAATAATGGGTGATCTATAGTGTACAATCTACATATATTGATGTCTTGTAAGCCCCTTGTGTGTAGCGTATGTCTGTGCATTTGTGTGTGTGTGTGTTGGGGGGGGGGGGTAGTTTTTTTGTTCATTTCCTTAAATCTTTCGAAGATACTGCATTGCTGATATGTCACAGTACAAAACTAGCAAGGTATGTGGTACTACATGTTTTGTAGATTTCTATACTATGCTTTCCTTCTCTTTACAGACAAGCGACTAAGACCCCATTCTCTGATGTCATGGAAAAATGAAAAATATGATATTTCTATGATAAATTTGACTTTAGAGTTTAGATACTTTAGATACATAAATTGATGCAGATATATACTCATACATATACATGCATGCATGTACAAATTTTTATTTATTTTTTATGTTGATGTGTCTTTAATTTTTGGGACTTAAGCCAGCCTTATGTAAAGAATTTTAATGTGTAATGCTGCCATTACTAAAGGAGCTTTATGTGGTAGATTACGTCACTTAAGAATGATATATCATCTCGTGGTATATATATATATTTAAATATAATGTTTAACATAGTTTATTTTCTTTACTACTCATTGGTGTTACTCTTTCCCCTTGGTTTTATTTTATTTTCCTTTTTAAAGAAAATAATCTGATAGGAAAAGTAAAACGAACACTAAAGAAATAAAATTACACACATCTTATTTTCTAGAAAAATAGCTTACTAAGTAATCACTTTTTAAGAGTTAAACATAGATATTGCTCTTCCTTTTAGATTTAATTATTATTATTATTATCTTTTTATAAACTAAACTTACATTATAAGCAACTAAAGAGCTGCAACCGTGTAGACACAATATGTACAAAGGCAAAAGGAAAAGTCATTAGTCAATACGATCTTGTTAATGAGTATACTGTGAGGGATATTTTGGGTAGAAATAGCAAAAATGCAGCTGCTCTTGAACTTGAACCTGGTTTCTTAAGTACGGTCGCTTTCTCCACCAAAGAAAGCAGAGACTCTCTTCTAGGGGATGTTGTGGCTGTGTCTGGCACGTATCTGACACAGACACGCGTGGGACATGGCTGGGCACGTCGCTTACACGACTATTCAAGTGCCCAGAAGTTTGAGCATATTTTTTTTAATTGGACACGAAGATAACATGTTAAGGATACTTTCGGGACACAGTGTGTATGCAATCTTTATTTTTATATAAAAAAGGGGTTCCAGTGCATTTTAAAACATATTACTGATTAATAGAAAAACAATATAAAGTTCTAAAAATCAGCACTCATCCAGCCTTAATTCCCAAATTACTAATTAGTGATTAAATTCATGGTATTTTGGATAACATTTCCTCTTCCCCACTTAGAACTCCATATAAAAAAGACCCAATAACATAAATTGACTAAATACTACTATGGTCTCTTGGGAAAAAGTAACTTCTTGATTGTCATGGGTCCACCAACCAATTGATATTTAATAGAGACGGAATCACCATAGCATACTGATGAATTGTTTGCACGCTGGAAAGGATTAAATTAATCCATCTGGCCCATTTAACGCCCATAATCAAATATCTTTTAACTGTGCGACATTCATATTTATGCTGTGAAGGATTTGTTGAGAAATAAAAGTATTTATGTCCTGAATATATTGCCTTACATTATAAATTGCCTTCATGTTAATCCTAAATCTTATTCTGAATCTCAAGTTTCTTTCTGTCAGGTTGGACTGAGGTGGAGGACTGAAAAAGAAGTCATAACTGGGAAAGGTAATGTTATACACTTTAGTGGCTTTTATTTATTTTTTCTTATTTAGTGCTTTGAAACATTCTTTTTCTCTCTCTTTGGAAAATCATTATCTTGCACTCTATATGTTTTATATTCTTTTTTTGAACACCAATTAATGTAGCCTGGCATTTGACATTTAACTTGGGTTCTTTTGTTGATCAGAATTTGTAAATTGGCATAGAAGTTTCTATCTTATAATTGATTGCTCTGTATTTGATATTCTGTTGTCTTTTTCTCAGTTCACATAATACATAGATTGCCTTCATAATAGAATGTAATTCAAAAATCTAAAATGAATGAACTTCTATAATTCATTTGTTTTACATATGATTTTCCTATGATTATACCTTTTTGTCTGTGACTCTTGTGTTCAGTGAGATTCTCAGAATCTAACTTGTTTACTTGTATACACTGTTTTTGAATTTATTATTATTCAGGAAGAGTGCACAATCCATTATGCTCTCATTAGATTCAATATGATGTTGCCCCGATTGTGTCTGATGACTGCAATAGATTGTGGGTCCAGTAGACACAAATCAGAGGCCGAGAACTTGCACCTTTTTTTTTTTGAATCAGAGTTTTGGAATATTCGACCAGGAGGCTCCAAAACCATTAATTATGCATTTTGTTTTTAGGAGCTTACTTATTTTTGGCTTATGTAGCAAGTCACACTTTGTTTACAAAGTAAGCCACTTAACTCTAATCCTGAAAGGAAATTAATCGTATAAACATGATGGGAAATCAAGGATAGTTGATTTGTCGCATGCAGAATAGTATGATGAAATTCGGGTGTCAATGAATTTTTATTTATTTATTTATTATTATTATTTTTTTAATGATATTTAACTTGAAATGTATCTATGCCTTGAAATATACAACATATATCATTAGTTATTATAATTTCTTTGGCGCATTTTTCTTAGTTGAGCTCAAAACCATGTTAGTCTTATGTTATGTGATCATATACATATTAACATTACCTTAGACCCTTTTTTGCACTTGAACCCGTGTTCGCTTGGCAATTTGAGCTTTACCGCAGGACCAGACAATGGCTCCTAGTACCTTGATATATCCACTTTATTAAAAATCACACCATATGTATACTAATTACTAATTATTGCAATTTCCCCAAGACATTGTAAAACATTTTTTGGCTCATAGTATTAATATATTATCTTGGAGTCCAACTCTGACAAGGTTCTTTTATAGAAGTGTTTGTGCTACCTAATGAACAGTCTATTCATCTAATCTTTTACTGTATTTGGATATAAATCAAAAAGTAGGTCTGCCTTTATTTAAAATAAATAAAAAAATTATAGCCATGTATGCGAATTTATAATTCCAAAGTATCTTAGAGCCTTTTTAATTCAAATAGAATCATCTGCAAGCCCAAGGCTTTGCAATTGAAGCCTTGTCAAATGCTACGTTGTTGTGGTCAGACCATTGGCAAAACGAAAGGAACTCTTAAAAGCAGGAGTTCCTTTTGATTTTGACTCTTCAATGACAATGAGCATATCATGACAAGCATAATTTTGACACTTAATTTGAAAAAGAAATAACAAGGGACCTTTTGACTTATAAGATACTTGTAAAAAAATAAAATGTTTTGTATCTCATATCTTTATCCATTATCTTGCAGGTGAACTTTTCTTATTTTGAAGCTGGGGAAAACAAACAGACCTTGGTGAAACTGGTTGCGTGTGAGAGGTATGTGGATTTTTACCAAGAATATGTTTGTCTATCTTTGCTATCCCAACTATTTCCTTTTGTTATATAAAGTCGTTAGGTGCAGTTGCAATGGGAGCAATGTTCATGTATTTTGAAGAATTTTGGGTCCCTCACTGGTGTTGTTCACTTGGTGCTATTTATAACCACGATTTGTCAAGCTGGGATTTTCTTTTCCAGTGTACTTTTACATCATGGCATGTCACCCCATTTTTATTCTCATTGGGAGCATACTTGGAGGGTTCTGCATTTTTGGTAGCACCATACTAGTTACTGAACGAAATTCTGTTCTTGTATCTTAGTTGCCTACAGACCTAATTTCGGACTTTGCAAAATTATACAATAATTTCTGGCCCAAGCTTAATTTGAAGAAACAGTTTATATAATTAATGGATTAGGCAATGAGCCAATGAGCTAGTGTGTAGAAGTTTTATACTAGATTTGGGGATATAGCTGATAATTTAGAAGGACCTTGGGCTACATTTGAAGGTATGGAACTAGTAATAGATGGTGAAGAGGGGCAGGTGCAGGGATGGGGGCAAAGTTCTTCTTGCTGCTCTTGGATACCTTGTTGTTCATTTACAGTATTTCTGATTCTATAACTGATTGATTGACTGTTAAACTTAGTTTCTCAATTTGGAGTCTTGTGATCTCTAGTCTACCCATTATGTTGTGTGGCTTTGAAATCTTCTTGTTAAAATTCTTAGGGAGGGATAATATTCACTTCTCTACTTCTTTCCCAACTAACGTCCCTCTCCCCTCTTCTATTATACAAATGATCTATCAATTAGTTAGTTTGATTAATCAATTTTTTTGCCCCATTTTTTCTTTCTTTTCTTTTCTTTTATTGGTTTTTCCCCCCTGAACATCCCATTATCTCATGCGAGTAGAAGATTGTGTGAGCTTCCTGTTATTCCCCCATATTTTTTCTGTGTGGAAACAACCGAGTCTATGCTTCCTGAATTTTTGTACAATTATTTGCTCCCTGTAATTTGAATCAAATGTAACAGTGTAGCTCCAACTTAAATGTAACCCTTAGGTGTTATTATGTTGCAGTAAGTTATTGTCAGGAACCTGAGTTCATGATGTAATTTGAAATTTTAACAAGGATGCTACTTGATGCGGTGCTCTACATCTTGATTCAGTTATTTCAAACTAGTACCTCTGATAATGTTATACTCCATATTTATTTTCATTGGTCATGTTCATATAGATGCACAGAGAATCTTCTTTACAAAAGGCGGAAGGAGAAGGAGCAATCAATGAAACTAGAGAAAGAAGTGCTCAAAATGAAAAGGTGCATCCAGATTGCGATGTCTTTTCTACTTATATACCTTCTTTTTTATCCATCATATATTTCGTGGAACTGACTAGCGTTCTGTTCTCAGGGAAAGGTCAAGACGCAAGGATGATACAGATGACGAGTATGAGATGAGCAAAGAGAGGAGAAAAGGTTTGGTACTGCCACTGATATAGTTATATACTTAATCATCTCTTATTGTTTAGGACTTGGTAATTTTTTTTCCCAGTTAGTTAAATACGCGCGTGCGCGCACACAGACACACACACACACACACACCCAACGAATGGCTACTATGGGGCTTGAACCCTTCTCCTCGAGGGAAGAGGTTATACCAGCTGGGTAATGACCCAGTGGCTTCAGGACTTGGTATTTATTTGGATGAAGGCTCCTGTTTTGGTCATCTTTTTTGTTACATTATATGTGCATGGTGCATGAAGTCTCTTGAAAATTTACCAAGAACGACACATCTTTCATAGAGCCTTGTAAAAGCCTGGTGAATGGCGGAGGTTATTTGTTAGGTAAAAATCATGCTATTGTGATGTACAAGCGTAGAATGTTTGGCAGATATATACTGCCTAGTCAAGCAGAATATAGTGTGCCGTGCACCCATTTTGTTGAAAACAATTCGTCACTCTTCTCCTTCACTTGTCTTATCATTTGGTCATCCATGATAAAAAGCTTACAAGTCTTTTACCTCTCCTTTGTAGGAAAAAATACTTCCAACTTCAGCTGGTGGTCATAAGATTGACGAAGAAAACTTGGATCAGTATCTTGAGGGAATGTTTCCTTGAAATTAATTGAATGATTGCCGTCACACCAAGCTATCTTCTGTATTTGACATGGTGAAATGCAAAAATACCTAAATGAGCTGAAATCTGATTGTTACACGTACGCTGCAAAATATTTTGTTTATTAATGGTGAAACAAAACTATCAAGGTTGTAATTTTGAGTAGCTTGAAGAATTTTCTGATATAGGTGGGCATTTTATTAGTGAAAAGGAAATAAAAAAGATGTGATTATGGGACATCACATGAATTTCATATGAATGTATCTAATGGATGAAGGTAACTTGGCTTGTATATTAGGTGTATGTTTCGAACTTGCATATCAGTATATCATTACTTGAATCAAATGTCTTTTAACGGATTTGGATTTGCATGTTTAAAGAAACAGGGGATCAATTTGTAGAGAATGATTAAGAGATGAGAATTAATCTGATGAAGATGTGAAATTGATAATTAAATATGATGAATTTAATTAGGTTGATTTCGAATCACAAAAGCTCCTTAATTATAGCTTTTATGTTCTTGCACAAACCATCATGAAAATGCTTTTATGTTCTTGCACAATACATCATGAAAAAAAAATTAGTGAATGATATCTGGACCATATTAGCTTACCAAAATAATCCACAAAAAAAAAAAAAAAAAAAAAAAAAAAAAAAATCAGATTTAAGTAAAACAAAACCAACACATTATAGAAAACAAATTTTATTGGTAACAAAAAAAAGAAAAACATCCGATACAAAAAATAGAAACAAAAGCCCCTTAATTATAGCTTTTATGTTCTTGCACAATTCATCATGAAAATGCTTTTATGTTCTTGCACAATCCATCATGAAAATTTTAATGATTGATATCTAGACCACCAAATTAGGTTACCGAAATAATTCAAAAACACAAAAAAAAAAAAACAAAAACAAAATCAGATTTAAGTAAAACAAGACCAGCGCATCAAAGAAAACAAATCTTATAGGTAACAAAAAAGGAAAACATCCAATACAAAAATATAAACAAGAAATTACAATTTGTCATCAACAAAAACATCAGATACAAAAATAGAAACAGAAATTACAATTTGTCATCAACAATTACATTACAAGGGATGATTAATAAAAGGAAAACATCACATACGAAAAACAGTTTGTCATTTCTTGTGATCAATTGATTGATCGAACAATTCAATCGAACTTCTCGGAAACAGATGATACACCGTTAAGTAGCACCGTCTCTAAGGTGTCGGCGTCAACTGACTCATCGATGTTGTAAGAACCGATAAGTGTATCTCCAGAATAGGCACAGTAATAGTACTGCAACTTATTGCCTCAATGGTAGTCATTGCACAACAATTAGATAGAATGGAGTCAATTTTATCGCCGTCAAACCTGATGATTCCCACTTCAGAGAGAAATCGATGGAGGATTTGAGAGAATTCTATTTCATCAGACAATGACTTCATTGAAATTGGGTATAATTGTTCAGTCTCTGTGTAATTCTCTTCCTCCACAAGGGCAAGAATGTAAGTTCGTCTGTGAACTTTTACCATCATGGCAAAAGAATCAAACGATACCAGTTTTTTCGTCAATATCAACGACCCATTTTTTCAGCCTCCATTCCTGCCTTTGGATCAACATCTTTATAGAGAAAGAGAGGCAAAGAAGATACGTGTGTGAGAGAGATGAGAGAGATGAAGATGAAGTATTTGGCGTAGGGTTGGGTTAGGCTGCTATATATATATATATATATATATTACTTGGGGAGAAAGTATATATTACTTGGAAGAAACTCCTACCACCATCTGAATTCTGACTTCGCTTGGAAGAAACTCCTACCGCCACATGAAGAAGCTTTAGGTTAGGTTATGTGATACCCCTCGAATCCGAGACATGGGTTGATCAGGCCTAAGCCCAAATCCGAGGGAATATCAAACAATTAATTATAAACGAACACAAAATATAAAAAGATTTAAGAATTAAATATTAAATAAATACGCTGAAAAGAATTATTAAATATAAAATCCTCAAAATGATAATGAATAATAATAATAATCCAATTCTCCAAAACCTCCAAGTGTACAACTTGGGAATCCATCTAGTAGACCCCTAAACAAAATCCAACTAAACTGAAAAACTGAAAATAAAATCTCAAACTAAAACATAGAGAGAAGTCCTACGTAAACAGATGAATGAGTGACTATCTCCGATAAGCATGATCAAGCTCTAAGGCTGGAACCGTCCCGTACCTGAAAAGAATATAAGAGTGGGTGTGGCTCATGAACAAGTTCTAATCTAACTGCAATCCATACAGTGACCCGATACGCAGATACATCCTAGATATCTCATAATATCTATCTAGTCCATAAATACATATATATATATATATATATATATATATCCACACTAAGGGATATTCACTGGACTACAAAGGGGTCTCAACCTGAATAGAAGGCAACATGCAAAAACGCGCCCAAAGGTGGGCATGAGTACCCAGACCTAACAGGGAACACCTCAACCTATCATAGTCAGCTACACATCCACTGCATATACGCACCATAATCTACGAGCCTGAGACTCAAGCTCATCTCGTGATACAATAATCATATATTTAAAATCCGTTCAAAACCAGAGTATGTAATTCAATTATTCATTGATCTGACATACGATTTATAATCCAGTTAGTCACTCAACTTATTCAGTTGATATGACTTAACTACAAACAACAGTTAATCCATGTAGTCACTCAACTTACTCAGTTGATCTGACCTAAATATAAGTAGGATTCAATGTTTATAATCCATTCCTTTATTCCCACAGAGTAGGTCTTAGCGTTCTGAGTTAAACCATCCCTAGTATGCCACCGTCCCATATTAGTGCATACGATCCACATCATCCATGTAAATTACAGAACCTAAATAACAGTTCAGCAATTAAAGTCCAAAACCATAACTCAGTTCAAAACCAAAATTCAGGTAATTGCAGAATAGTGTATAATATTTTAGCAATTAAAGTTCGAACCATAATCCAGCTCAAAACCATTATCCTGTTAATTGCAGAATAGTGTAAAATATCTCAGCAATTAAATCCAATCCTTTATTCATGTAATTGTAGAAAAGAACTAATATTTTAGCAATTTAAAATCCAGAGCATGCATAGGTCAAATCTGTTAATTAAATGACTCTGCTGTGCATCTAAAACAAGATTTAAAATCATGCCATAGTCCATTAAATTGCCGAATAAAAACTAGACAATTAAATCATTTCATCCGTAAACAGCATGCAAAGTTATTTAATTTCACACTGTTCATTTTATTCGCATAACTGTATAAACTATGCAATGAGAGCTTTTAATAACACCTGAATTAAATGTTAAATACCCCCAGTATACTTCCAGAACAGTTCAAAACACTTAAATCATCCAAACAGTACACCCAAACCAACCCAGATGCATCAAAACTTGGGAGCCTGCTCTCAAAACAATATAGCAGGCTCAATACATTATGGAGTCGGCTCCCTAGCCCTTAGAGCCGGCTCTATGAAAGGGGGAGCTGGCTCCCAACCTCCTGGAGCCTTCTCTCTCCCTTTTTGAGAGCACTGCTCCACTTCTGCTCTGTTTCTGACCATCTGTTTCATCTCCGGCCTATTCTTACCCTTCTGTTCTTCCTTAAAACTGATCTCAATAGTCTAATATATATCCAGTATCACCCCCAGTCCCTAGTTTACAGCAGTAAGAATTAATACAACGATTTAAAACAATACCAATTTGTTATGCTTTAAAACCGACGATGAACTTCCAAACTTGCAAAATAATTTCAGATTCAATTAAAACACATACAGTTGATTAATTTAATATAAACTAAGCATGCAAGATTCAGTTAATGATCAATTAAAATCCTAGAGATCATCTAGGTATGCACAGAACATAGGCCAACGAGAGAGAGAAAGAAAAGAACTTGTCTGTGATTTCAGTTATGAAATCTCGGTATCGTCTCTAAGTTTCCGGCAATTACTGAATACCGTCAAGCCTCCTACTACTCCGGCTCTTCCCTTCTCCTAAGTCTGACCTTTAATCCACAGCTGAAACCCTCACTTCAATTGCTCTGTTTTTCTTACAATCGCTCTCTGTTTCTCTCTATAACTTTGGTACGTGAACAGGGTTTTTCCAACCCTTGGCAAACCTCTACTATTCTATTCATAGGCTTCAGAAAAACCAACCTTAAATCCAATTTAATTTAGAGACGAAAAATAAAACACTTATTAAATACCTAAGTCGACTAAAACTTAAATACCTAAACAGAAAAATAAAACCCTAACTATAATTTAATTATTAAAACTGATACAACGAATATATCAACTAAGTCATTTAAACAAATAAATAAAACAATTTAAAACATTAACAAGTTAAAACATTAACTCAAATAAATAAAACAAATACTACAATTAATTCAATTAAAATACCACAATTAAACCAACTAAGCAAATAATTAAATTAAATAACAATTAATCCATAAATTAAAACAAACAGGCAAATACCAAATAAACAATTAAAAATGTAATAAAATAAATATTAAAATACCGAGACTATCCTTTTAAAATTAGGGGTATTACAGGTTATTATTCCTATTGTAGCCTACTGGGTCTGTTAGCCTATGGGCCTGCCTCTAGGCCTGTAAATGATCATAACCACAACCCATTTAACTTTGTCATATGACCATATCCAACTACAGTCCAATGCCCAATGACTAATTGACTTAAATTCTATATCAAGCATCAGCTTGAAGAATTTTCTGATATAGGTGACGAACTTCGATGAGTATCTTAAGGGACTGTTTCCTTGAAATTAATTAAATGATTGTTGTCACACCTTTGAGCTTTCTTCCTTATTTGACATGGTGAAATGCAAAAATACCTAAATGAGCTGAAATCTGATTGTTACACGTACGCTGCAAAATATTTTGTTTATTAATGGTGAAACAAAACTATTAAGGTTGTTATTTTGATCAGCTTGAAGAATTTTCTGATATGGGTGGGCATTTTATTAGTGAAAATGAAATAGAAAATATGTGATTATGTAACATCACATGAATTTCATATGAATTTATCTAATGGATGAACGTAACTTGGCTTGTATAGTCGGTGTATGTTTCGAACTTGCATATCAGTATATCATTACTTGAATCAAATGTCGTTTAACGAATTTGGATTTGCATGTTTCTTTGTAGAGAATGATTAAGAGAGAAGAGAATTAATATGATGAAGATGTGAAATTGATAATTAAATATGATGAATTTAATTAGGTTGATTTCGAATCACAAAAGCCCCTTAATTATAGCTTTTATGTTCTTGCACAAACTAGCATGAAAATGCATTTATGTTCTTGTACAATACATCATGAAAATTTTAGTGATTGATATATGAACCATATTAGGTTACCAAAAAAAAAAAAAAACCAAAACAAAACAAAAATCAGATTTAAGCTAAACATGACCAGCACATCATAGAAAACAAATCTTATATGTAACAAAAAAAGGTAAACATCCGATACAAAACTAGAAACAAAAGTCCCTTAATTATAGCTTTTATGTTCTTGCACAATCCATTATGAAAATTTTAGTGATTGATATCTGGACCAAATTAGGTTACCGAAATAATCCAAAAAAAAAAAATAGATTTAAGTAAAACAAGACCAGCACATCATGGAAAACAAATCTTATAGGTAACAAAAAAGGAAAACATCCGATATAAAAATAGAAACAAGAAATTACAATTTGTCATCAACAAAAACATCCGATACAAAAATAGAAACAGAAATTACAATTTGTCCATCAACAATTACATTACAGGGATGATTGAAAAAAGGAAAACATCACATACGAAAAACAGTTTGTTATTTCTTGTGATCAACTGATTGATCGAATCATTCAATCGAA